GTTTATTTGCCTGTGGCTCCAGAAGGATCAGAGTCCATCATGACGGGAGGCAAGGCAGCAAGCAGCAGGCAAAGTGTCAGGAACAAGAAACTGACAGCTCACATCTTTAACTGCCAAGTACAAAGCAGAGAGGGTGACTGGAAATGACAGAGGCTTTCAATTCTCAAAGCCCACCTACAGGAACATGCTTTCTCCAGCAAGGCTGCACCTCCTAAATACCTTCCAAGTAGTGCTACAAACTGGGAACTGAGTGTTCAGAGGCCTGAGCCTAGAGGGAGAATTGCCTAGAGCCTAGTATGAAAAAAAGAGGAAATGACAGATGAACCATTAAAACCAGTGCTGGTCCCGGAATTTGCTCTGTATTTCAGGCTGGCCTCAAACTCAGAGGGGCCTGTGCCTCTGCTCCCCAGGTGGTGGACTCATAGCAGGCACCACCACCTCAACTGGCTCCCTCCCCTTCTCTTTCTATGGGATTTCTGGAGAGGATTCTCAGAATGCCTGCACGTCAAAAATGAATGGCATGGCTGCTGTAGGAAACTTTAGTTCCTATTTACTGGATCAAAAGTAAACCATATCTTTCCCTGGCTGTCAGAGTTAAAGTTTTAGACACATCCTCCATTGGCCCAGATGCTGACCAAAGAAGCCAAGTCCTGGATAGCATCAGAGTGTGGAATGTTTATACTTCAGACTCAGAAATTTATGTATGTTTCATTTTGTTCGGTTGCCTTTTTTGGAACAGGGTAGGCAACATTCCTGCCTCAGCTTCCTGTATGCTGAGATAACAGAAGCAGACCACCACACTTGGCTTCCTGCTGTATTTTTGCTCATTTTCTTCTAACGTGGGTGTCCCATTTTTTAACTTTTAAACACGCCCACTATAGTTTTTTCCTCACGACATTCTTTTGTTTCTAGAGAGTGTGTCAATTGACTTATATGTCATCTCACAGCGCAGAACTTACAGGTGTCTCTTACATTCTGACTGTCTCTTGGATAATCTCTTGGTGCAGTGCAAACACTATGATAAACATCTTTTAACTGCTGGCTAATATTTCAAATTTGTTTGTGATTTAAGGTCTCTAAAGACTCAACTAGAAACAGCTTGTGTGGAGCGTATTTGTTTTTATTTTTCTGGAATTTGTTCCGCAAATTCCTGATGAATTCTTCCTTCAGATTCACACTTGGTATAAGTTAGGAGGAACAAGAGCAGAAATAGATGGGGGCTTCTTTAGTTTTCTTCTCATAGCTTTTCCTTAAAGCAGTTTTTCAGTGTAATGATTCTTAAAGCATTCATAAGGAAAGGCATTACTGCCAAATTGCTGAGATTCTGAACTAGCACTTTCCTCTAAGAACTATACAGCAGGGGTCATTTACTAGCTTTGGGTGTGTGTCTAAGGAGAAAGCCGTTTTGTGGACACACCCTGCTGAGGCCAGTAACCTGCTCCAACCTCATTTTGACCTGGAGGATCACAGCAGGCAGAGACAGCCTTTGTACAGGAAGGCAGTGCTAATGCTGGGAGGCTGTGCAGGCTCTATGGGGAAAGGAAGGGCCAGACCCAGCCTGAGAAATACGGAGGACTCCATGACATTGGGCTAATGATAGATCCAACTATTGAAAAGGAATGCCTTTTGAGCATTAGACATGGTAGCTCATGCCAGGAATGTCAGCACTCAGGAGGCTGAGGCAGGAGGATCAAGGCGAGCCTGGTTTACATGGTAAGTTCCAGGCCAGCATGAGATGTAGAATGAGACAATGCCTAAAAAAATAAAGACTTTCCAAAGAAAGATCTTACAGAGGGTGTGTGTAGCGTGTGTGCATGAGTGCGCTTGTAGTTGGAGTGACTGGCTTTAGAGAATGCTCTTTTCTTGTTAAAGGCCGGCCTTGTCTGGGGACAGTGCTTGGTGGATAAAATACTTACTGCACAAGAGTGAAGACTCCAAAATCCACAGAAAAGCATGCCAGAAATCCCGCAGACAGAAATATCCACAGGGCAAGCTAGCCAGCAAAGACTAGCTAGAATTGGAGAAATAGAGGTTGATGTACACACACACACACACACAAATGCATAACTCTCATACATAGAAAAAAAGAAAGAAGGAGGAAAGGAAATTCATTTTCAGAATTTGAAATAATTTGAAATAATGAATTATTGACTTTTACCAAAAATATGATGTTTCTGCATTGAGCCATCTCCAAGCCAACAGAGACCCCTAAGCAAGGCGGATCCAAGTACAGGCTCTGGGGCCTTGCTACCTACATACAGCGGACATTATGTTGAACACCAAGTGAGTCCAAATGCCTTTAGTAGATTTTAGGTTTTTATCATTTTAGCTAGGCGTGGTGGTGTATACCTTTAATTCCAGCACTCAGGGAAGTAGAAGCACACTGAACTCTGTGAGCCTGCAGCCACCCCGGTCAATAAAGGAAGCCCAAAACACCCAAGGCTACACAGAGAATATATATATTTACCTTCTAGAAAATATAGCAGAAAATCTATTTTAAAACGCTAAATAACTAATAAGGATGGAATTAGAGTAGATTTTCAGTTTAAGAGGGAAAAAATCTCTCTGAAAACTACATTAATTGCAGAAAGATTGCACTTTATAGCGTATATCATTCCATTGCAGTTGTTATAGTAAGTTTTTGCTAAGAGGTTGTTTGGGGCGTAGAAAACTGGAGCCTCATGGTTCTCTTTGACAGTTTGCCAGCTGGAATCCCCGCCAACCAGATAACTTAGCTGTGGCAACACTCCATCCTCTAGGAGTCCTGAAGCTGAGCCAGGCCTTGGAGGGAAGTCTCCCTGAGCACGCTCCCCTGCCCATCTTGAGAGTGGAGGGCACCACTGCCCCGTGGTGTACCCAAAAGCGTGCCAGCATGAGAGGCTTACAGATGAAGTCCTCATAGTATTTAGTATTGTTTTACTATGTTAACTTTTAAACAGAAAAACGGAAGGCAGAAACCTCTTTGCCCTCTGTAGCGTTCTGTCCGTAATCGGCTGAACTCAGAGGGAGGGACCTCAGGTATGTGCACTGGGCAATGGCAATGACCCTCTATCAGTCCTACCAAAATTTCCTTGAGGAGAGATGGGGAGAGAACTGGGCTAGGCTGGAGAGGAAGAAGAGAAAAATCCTAAATATCCTTATTTATCTGAAATTCCTTGATATCCACAAGTGTCTCCACTTAGCAGTCCTTTCAGATAAATGACACCTTTCTCTGGCTGATCTCCTCACAGATCCAGTCAATCAAACCCACAGCTTTGTTCTGTGACTGACTCATTCTTGTTTCTCTACATATCTAGGATGTCACTGAATTTCATGTTGAGTTACTAATAGTATCTCCCTGGCGAATCATTTTCTTTCAGTTCCTCTGCCATTCTCTTTTTTCTGACTCAGTCACTTCATGCAAAGGCAAAATACTAAATATTTTACCTACTATTATTTATAGTATCTAAGTCTTCTACCATTTACCACTCATGAGGATAAATATGACGAAAAGGACATACGATAAAAAATGTAGGTAAGACTGAAGAAAACATTGCTTTTGAAGGTGGCAGCCATTTGCAAGATAGTTTTAGTACTTCTCACTTTAAAAAAGAAAAGAAAAGAAAAGAAAAATGTGAGGGTTCCGTGACACCTGCCTGTGATCCCAGCACTCAGAGGCAAAGGCAGAGGCAGGCAGATCTCTGTGAGTTTGTGGCTAGCCTGCTCTACAATTCCAGTTCAGGCCAGCCAGAGCTATTACACAGAGGAACCCTGTATCAAAACAAAACAAAACAGCAAGGCAGTGGTGGCACATGCCTTTTACCCCAGCACTTAGAAGGCAGAGGCAGGCAAGATCTCTTGAGCTTGAATCCAGCTTGGTCTACAGAGTGAGCTCCAGGACAGCCAGGGCTACATAGAGAAACCTGTCTTGAAAAACCAAAAATAATAGTGAATGAATGAATGAGGATTGAAAGTTCTTGCTCAAAGCAGGGAAACTGTCAAATGACCCAAGTTGTTCTAGAGTTTCTAAGAATCAAGTAGTGTCACTAAAGCCCCTGGAACATGGCTTCTGCAGCTGGTACTACTGTGGGTAGCTTTGGGCTATCCCTGGGTTGTTTCCAGTGTTCAGAAAAATGGAACATGAGTCACTTTGCTAAAGCTCTTTAGATTGTGTTTTGAATATCTATGTTTTTTACTTCTCCCAGTGCTCCATTCGGACAACCCCCCATATACAGCGAGCTTCATAAAGTCTTGCTCCTCCTCTCCCCATTTCTCTCTAAATTTCATTAAAACTCTAAATTCCCTCCATGTTCTGTATCACTCAGTTTACTGTGTCTTTGACCAATGGATTAGGTTATGTTTTCAAAGTATTTTTCTCTTCAGCTAATCTTTCTAAAAATGCATATTCAAGAAAATGAAAGTTCTGGGACAGTTCTGAGACATGGGAAACGCCTGGTGTGGGGACCGCCTGGTGAAATGCCTTCCCCTTTCCATAGCACCCAGTGATTGCTTTCACAGAATAGAATAGTTAACTTCTGCTTCATCTCGGTAATCGCCAGGGCTTATGGGAATGATCCCTAACACTGCCTTCCATAGATCCACCTGGGGATAAAGTTCTCCCTTAGTCCAGCAGGTCAGGGCCTCTGGGTGAGCAGCTCATCCTTGCACTGGAATGCTGCTACTCTTGCTCAGGCTAAGGACTGAGCCTGGCAGATGACATAATCTCAGTCAGTGCTTACCAAACCTAGTTGACCATTGCAAGGATGGAGGACCAGAATGCTTGGGTGTTTCAAAGTTTTCTACACAGATGGGATTTGTTTTGTTTTAGGGGGGGAAGGGGGCATTTGATTTGATTTGTCATTGATTTGATAAAAAAAATCTTTTAATCCTAATTTTTTTAACAGTCAGCAATGTAATTAGGCCTCTGACCTTTTGAAAAAGCACGTCATACCTTTAGTAATAAGGGTAGATGCCCTGATCCTATTTGCAAACTAAAAGCAATCTAATTTTGTCTTCTCTAGGCTGGTAAACCATTCAGCAGCTTACCCTCACAAGACTCTCCATGTCCCTTGGTCCTGTTCCACTACGGTGCTTGGAAGCAGGAGATGGGCTCACACAAGGTCAACAGGACATGATCAAGGTGGAGCAGTGAGGGACAGTGCCGCCGGTAAGGTGGGGGTACGGCGGATGCTTGGCTCACATGTTCGAGGTTGTTTGCAATTACACGGCTACTCTCTCCTCTACCCTCGACACCAGGTCATGCTGTGAATTATAACAATTAACTAAGCATAGGACACAAGGGTTAGATTTTAAGATAAATCTGCAAAGTTGTACAGCTTTTATACCTATCTGTATTTTGCTGGATTGTTATTTTTATTTAAGAGGGTTCTTATCAGATTCTTTTTTTAATTAAATCTTTATTCTTTTATATTAATTACAGTTTGTTTATTTACTTTGTATCCCAACTGTAGTTCCCTCCCTCATTCCCTCCCAATCTCATTCTCCCTCCCTTATCTCCTCCCTGCCCCTCTCTAACTAAGTCCACTGATAGGGAAGGTCCTCCTTGCCTTCCATCTGACCTTAGTTTATCAGGTCTCTTCAGGACTGGCTGCAATGTCCTCCTGTGACCTAGCAAGTCTGCTCCTCCCTTGGGGAGGTCAAAGAGGACATTTGTTCAACCATGTTTCTAGCAGTTTTATTCATAATTACCTGAACCTGGAAACAACCCAGATGCCCCTCAATTGAGGAATGGATGCAGAAATTGTGGTACATTTACACAATGGAATACTATTCAGCAATTAAAAACAAGGAAATCATGAAATTTGCAGGCAAATGGTGGGATCTAGAAAAGATCATCCTGAGTGAGGTATCCCAGGAGCAGAAAGACACACATGGTATATACTCACTTATAAGTGGATACTTATTAAATTCCTAATATCTGATTATTTCTAAAATAGGAATAGGAGCCTTCACTGGTAACCAAGCACAGAACAGTGCAATGCTATTGCCACAGTGCCATCGCCTCCGCTGTTACACGGGGCCACGTCCTCAGCCTAATTGGTCTGACAATGGAGGCAGCTTTGGTAGCCAGCATGAGAGCACTAGCAGAGAACTAAAGTGTGACCCAGCATGTCTGACAGGGCATTCATATCAGCTTCTGAAAGTACAGTTCAGAGGCAGTGGGTGGAGGAGAAATCAGACTTCCTTGTGTCTTTAAAGTCAATCTTAATAAAGACCAGTCTGATTGTAGTGCACTGAAGTGCTAGTAAGTTTCCCAAACAAAGAGTTCTTAAAAGAAAAAAATTACTCATTTATTTATCTACTTGGGAGGGGGCATTGTATAGTGTGTGTGTGTGTGTGTGTGTGTGTGTGTGTGTGTGTGTGTGTGTG